TATACAGTGGACCCCCGCATAATGATTACCTCTGAATGCGACCAATTATGTAAGTGTATTTATGTAAGTGCGTTTGTACGTGTATGTTTGGGGGTCTGAAATGGACTAATCTACTTCACAATATTCCTTATGGGAATAAATTCAGTCAGTACTGGCACCTGAACATACTTATGGAGTGAAAAAATATCGTTAACCGGGGGTCCACTGTACTCTGCTCTTCTTATAACACTTCTGCTTTGTAAAAACCTCTCACAAGCTATCTTCTTCTCTTTTATCACACCCTTTATTCATCATTCCACCAATCACTCCTCTTTCCTCCTGCACCCACCCTCCTATAACTGCAAACTTCTGCCCCATATTCTAATACTGCATTTTTAAAACTATTCCAACCCTCTTCAACCCCCCACTGCTCATACTTGCACCAGCCCACCTTTCTGCCAATAGTTGCTTTTATCTCACCCGAACTTCCTCCTCCCTTAGTTTATACACTTTCACCTCTCTCTTACTTGTTGTTTCCATTTTCCTTTCGTCCCATCTACCTCTAACTCTAACTGTAGCTACAACTAAATAATGATCCAATACATCAGTTGCCCCTCTATAAACATGTACAACCTGGAGCCTACCCATCAACCTTTTACCCACCAATACATAATCTAACAAACTCTCATTCGTGCTATATCATACCTTGTATACTTATTTATCCTCTTTTTCATAAAATATGTATTACTTATTACCAAACCTCTTTCTACACATAGCTCAATTAAAGGCTCCCCATTTTCATTTATCCCTGGCACCCCAAATTTACCTACTACTCCCTCCACAACAATTTTACCCACTTTAGCATTGAAATCCCCAACCACAAGTACTCTCACACTTGGTTCAAAACTCCCCACGCGCTCACTCAACATTTCCCAAAATCTCTCTCTCTCCTCTACACTTATCTCTTCTCCAGGTGCATACACGCTTACTATAACCCACTTTTCACATCCAATCTTTATTTTACTCCACATAATCCTTGAATTAATACATTTATAGTCCCTCTTTTCCTGCCATAACTTCTCCTTCAACATTATTGCTACTCCTTTAGCTCTAACTCTATTTGAAACCCCTGACCTAATCCCATTTATTTCTCCCCACTGAAACTCTCCCACCTCCTTCAGCTTTGTTTCACTGAAAGCCAGGACATCCAGCTTTTTCTCATTCATAACATCCACAATCATCTCTTTCTTATCATTTGCACAACATCCTACATTCAAACATCCCACTTTGATGATTTTCTTCTTTTACTTTTTAGTAAGCTATACAGGAAAAGGGGTTACTAGCCCATTGTTCCCAGCATTTTAGTTGACTTTTACAACACGCATGGCTTACGGAGGAAAGAGTCTTATTCCACTTCCCCGTGGATATAAAAGAAAAAGCAATAAGAACAAGAACTATTAAGATAAAATCAAAGAAAACTCAGATGAGTGTGTACATATAAACATGCACCTGTATGTGCAGTGTGACCTAAGTGTAAGTAGAAGTAACAAGAGGTACCTGAAATCTTTCATGTTTATGAGACAGAAAAAAAGACACCAGCAATCCTACCATCATGTAAAACAATTATAGGCTTTTGTTTTACACTCACTGGGTGGTTGCTGTCTACCAGCCTACTACATTATCAATACTGTCATCACTTAATAGCTAAGTTAAAGCAGCATGGCAATAATCTACATGTGAAGCAGTGATAATAAGCGACTTTCAGATTCAATCATTTATGTCTTTAAACTACATTAGATAGAAATGTAATGCTATAAGCTTACAAATAACTGGCCCAGCACTTTTAGCATAACCTAGGTAGATGCAGAACTTGAGCCGTCACATTATTATTATTATAATCAAGGGGGAAGTGCTAAACCTTGAGCCGTCACAAATCACATTCATTGTTTCCCTCACTTAACCCAACTTGTACATGCACATACTAGGGATTTAACTTTAGATTATCTTGCAGTTTATGAAGGCTTATTACATTTGTTCCCTAAATTTATATCACTACTGTACTGTACTGGATTATCTTTTTCTATATGTAAAACACAGTATATTATTACATTCCGGGGATATGTTAATCTCGTAGGAGTTATAAAGCACCTGGGTAATTGGAGGCAATTACAGTATGTTAAAAATGGTATAAAATACTGACAAGTTGATTCAACCATTATTTAAATTAATAATATTCTGCAAAATAATAGAGATTACCTGTACATTATCCTGGTAAGCAAAACATTAAACTTCCTTAATACTAAATGTATGTACAGTAAACCCTGGATTTAATAGATAATAGGGGGAAGAAGTTGGTGGATTGAGATGAGATTATTTTGCAGTGCTTGTGATAAAAATTGTGTAACCTACAGACTATCTGCAGTTTCCAAATTAACCCAGTGGATCTTGTCTAAAATTTCCAGTCTGTTAAAGACAAAATCCATTCATCATACAGTACAGCCAGATAGGTATTATTCTTGTTCTTATTATCATTATACTGTATTCATGGGGAAGTGCTAAACCTGTAAGGGTCACAAAGTACCTGATGCATTGAAGGTAAACATGATTAATGAAAGGCAGGAAAGGGTAGCTTCAATTCCTTGCATCAAGAGCTCATCACTAGCATCCAGGTATCCCCTCTTGATTTCTAAAACTGTTAATAGTAGGGATGGGATACCAAAATTTCTAAAGATACCAAGAGAGTTAGAGGTATTGGGAAGATTGAAGGAATATTTTGAAGAATTGTTAAATGTTGATGAAGATGGGGAAGAAGTGATTTTGTGTATTGGACAGGGAGGAATAACATCTTGCAGGAGTGAGGAAGAGTCAGTTGTGAGTGTGAGGGAAGTTCGTGAGGCAGTGGGAAGATTGAAAGGGGAAAAGCAGCTAGGATAAAGACAGAAATGTTAAAAGCAGGGGGAGAGGGGGGATATAGTTTTGGAGTGGTTAGTACTTTTATTTAACAAATGTATGGAAGAGGGTAAGGTACCTAGGGATTGGCAGAGAGCATGCATAGTTCCTTTGTATAAAGGCAAAGGGGACAAAAGAGTGTAAAAATTATAGGGGAATAAGCCTGTTGTGTATACCTGGTAAAGTGTATGGTAAAATTATTATTAAAAGAATTAAGAGTAAGACGGAGAGCAGGATCGCAGATGAACAAGGAGGCTTTAGAAAGGGTATGGGGCGTGTAGGCAAAGTGTTTACAGTGAAACATATAGGAGGACAGTATTTTAGATAAGGGTAAAAAGATTTTTGTGCCATTTATGGATTTGGAAAAAGCATATGATAGGGGAAGCAATGTGGCAGATGTTGCCAATGTATGGAATAAGAGGTAGGTTACTGAAAACAGTGAAAAGTTTTTACGAGGATAGTGAGGCTCAGGTTAGAATATGTAGATTATTATTATAATTATGGGGGAGTGCTAAACCTGTAGGATTATACAGTGTATGTGGGGGGGATGGAAGGTATTCAGGCTCAATACAGGGAACTGGAGCACATATCTAATTCCCTAGATCAAGAGCCCCTCACCAGCATCAAGGAACCTCCCATGAGGGAAGTATGTAGGATAGAGGGAGATTATTTCCCAGCAAAAGTAGGCCTTAGACAGGGATGTGTGATGTCACCATGGTTGTTCAGTACAGTATATTTATAAACGAGGTTGTAAGAGAAATGAATGCTCAGGTGTTCACAAGAGGTGTGGGGTTAAAAGATAAAGAATCTAACACAAAGTGGGAGTTGTCACAATTGCTCTTTGCTGATGACACTGTTTTTGGGAGATTCTGAAGATTATTATTATAATCAAGGGGGAAGTGCTAAACCCGGAGGATTATACAGCACCCGGGGGGGATGTGGAAGGCATTCAGGCTTAATTTGGGGAACTGGAGCACAGATCCAATTCCCTAAATCAAGAGCCCCTCACCAACATCAAGGAACCTTCCTTGAGGGGAGGGAGATTCTGAAGAGAAGTTGCAGAGGTTGGTGGATGAGTTTGGTAGGGTATGTGAAAGAATGAAATTAAAAGTGAATATAGGAAAGAGTAAGGTGATGAGGATAACAAAAAAAAATTAGGTAACGAAAGATTGGATATCACATTGGAGAGAGAGAGAATATAGAGGAAGTGAGTGTATTCATATATTTGGGTTTGGACTTGTCAACAGATGGGTCTATGAAAGATGAGGGGAATCATAAAACTGATGAGGAAAAAAAGGTGAGCGGTGTACTGAGGAGTCTGTGGAGACAAAGAACATTATACATGGAAGCAAAGAGGGTATGAGAGTATAGTTAGACCAACACTGTTATATGGGTGTGAATGTTGCAACAAGGAGAAGACTGGAGGCAGAGTATTATCCAGAAAGCTGAGGAGGGGTTGTTGAGGTGGTTCAGACATGTAGAGAGAATGGAATGAAATAGAATGACTCAGAGCATATAAATCTGTAGTGGAAGGCGAGTTAGGGGTTGGCCTAAGAAAGGTTGAAGGGAGGGGGTAAAGGAGGTTGTGTGCAAGGGGCTTGGATTTCCAGCAAGCATGTGTGAGCATGTTAGATAGGATCGAGTCAAGATAAATGGTTTTTATGACTTGACATGCTGTTGGAGTGTGAGCAAAGTAACATGAAGGGGTTCAGGAAAACAGGCAGGCCAGACATGAGTCCTAGAGATGGGGAGTACAGTGCCAGCACTCTGAAGGAGGCGTGTTAGTGTTGCAGCTTTATAACTGTAGTGTAAGCACACCTCTGGCAAGACACTGATGGAGTGAATGTTGATCAAAGTTTTTCTTTTTTGGGCCACCCTGCTTTGGTGGGAAATAGCTGATGTGTTAATAAATAAATAATAACCAACACTCAATTTCAGGCCAATACTGACACCATCAAAATAAACTAATACCCGCTAACACTGATACATTGGCACAATCCTAGTTGGTAGTAGAGGTATAGTAAGATGGTAAACTTTTATTGCATACAAATAAAGTTTTGGTTCTTCTACAGGAGTGAGGTACAAGGATGAAGATCGGACTGATGTAAACAAACTCCCGGTACTCAAATTTTCAGGACCTAATCTGTACTTCACCTTTAACCCAACCATCACAGATAATGATGAAGACTTGGACTGGGCTTCTGGAGTATTTGCTAAACTCTGCGCTGGCAGAGATAATGGGACCTGCACAAGTATTCTGTTCAGAAAAACATACCTTACAGGTACATAATTAAAATCTAAGCCTTGTTAAAACTTTTACCTGTAAAGACTTTGGAAAGCTATCGATCACAATACAATAAAATATCTAATTTCATTATTCTTAAGCCTCTTTGGGAGCTCCCTGTATTGAGGGGCAGCCATATTCACAAGTTTCCTGTGGTTGTAGCATTTTTTTTTTTCAACAAGTCGGCCGTCTCCCACTGAGGCAGGGTGACCCAAAAACAAAATCCCCAAAAAGAAAATACTTTCATCATCATTCAACACTTTCACCTCACTCACACATAATCACTGTTTTTGCAGAGGTGCCCAGAATACAAGAGTTTAGAAGTATATACGTATAAAAATACACAATATATCCCTCCAAACTGCCAATATCCCAAACCCCTCCTTTAGAGTGAAGGCATTGTACTTCCCATTTCCAGGACTCAAGTCTGGTTATATAAAATAACCGGTTTCCCTGAAACCCTTCACTAAATATTACCCTGCTCACACTCCAACAGCTCGTCAGGTCCCAAATACCATTCGTCTCCATTCACTCCTGTCTAACACACTCACGCATGCTTGCTGGAAGTCCAGACCCCTCGCCCACAACACCTCCTTTACCCTCTCCCCCCAACCTTTTCGAGGACGACCCCTACCCCGCCTTCCTTTCCCTATAGATTTATACGCTCTCCATGTCATTCTACTTTGATCCATTCTCTCTAAATGATCAAACCACCTCAACAAACCCTCTTCAGCCCTCTGACTAATACTTTTATTAACTCCACACCTTCTCCTAATTTCCACACTCCGAATTTTCTGCATAATATTTACACCACACATTGCCCTTAGACACAACATCTCCACTGCCTCCTCGCTGCAGCATTTACAACACAAGCTTCACACCCATATAAAAGTGTTGGTACAACTTTACTTTCATACATTCGCTTCTTTGCCTCCATAGATACCATTTTTTGCCTCCACGTATACCTCAATGCACCACTCACCTTTTTTCCTTCATCAATTCTATGATTAACCTCATCCTTCATAAATCCATCCGCTGACATATCAACTCCCAAATAGTATCTGAAAACATTCCTCCTCCCCAGTTCGATATCCAATTTTTCTTTATCTAAAATATTTGATACCCTCATCACCTTACTCTTTTCTATGTTCACTTTCAACTTTCTACCTTTACATACACTCCCAAATTCGTCCACTAATCTTTGCAATTTTTCTTTAGAATCTCCCATAAGCACAGTATCATCAGCAAAAAGTAACTGTCACTTCCCATTTTGTATTTAATTCCCCATAATTTAGTCCCACCCCTCTCCCGAACACCCTAGCATTTACTTCTTTTACAACCCCATCTATAAATATATTAAACAACCATGGTAACATTACACATCCCTGTCTAAGACCTACTTTTACCGGGAAGTATTGTCCCTCTCTTCTACACACCCTAACCTGAGCCTCACTATCCTCATAAAAACTCTTTACAGCATTTAGTAACTTACCACCTATTCCATATACAGTGGACCCCCGATTAACGATATTTTTTCATTCCAGAAGTATGTTCAGGTGCCAGTACTGACCGAATTTGTTCCCATAAGGAATATTGTGAAGTAGATTAGTCCATTTCAGACCCCCAAACATACACGTACAAACGCACTTACATAAATACACTTACATAATTGGTCGTATTGGGAGGTGATCGTTAAGCGGGGGTCCACTGTACTTGCAACCTATGCCACATTGCTCCTCTATCCACTCTATCATATGCCTTTTCTAAATCCATAAATGCAATAAAAACTTCCCTACCTTTATCTAAATACTGTTCACATATATGCTTCAATGTAAACACTTGATCTACACATCCCCTACCCACTCTAAAACGTCCTTGCTCATCCACAATCCTACATTCTGTCTTATCTCAAATTCTTTCAATAATAGCCCTACCGTACACTTTTCCTGGTATACTCAGTAAACTTGTAGAATATTAAATGAAAAATCTTTATACCACAATACAATATTTTCACTATGTGGAACCTCAAATATCGAACTTAATTCGTTCCAGGAGTTAGTTCTAAATTCGAAAAGTCTGAAAAGTGAAGCAATATTTCCCGTAAGAAATAATGGAAATACAATTAATCCGTTCCAGAAACCCAAAAATATTCACACAAAAAAAATACATTTTATAGAGATTAATTATAGTTTTACATACACACAACAAATATAGTGTTCAATTATGTAATAATAAATTTAAATAAACATATAACATTCTACTTACCTTAATTGAAGATTAGTGATGGCATCTGGAAGATAGGGAGGAGGAGAAACGGAGTTGGAGTTAGTGTTTGGAAAGGAAATCCCCCTCCATGAGGACTTCAGGTATCAAAGCCTTCTCTGGGGTTATTTCCTTTCTCTGTCTTTTAATGCCACTAGGACCAGCTTGAGAGTCACTGGACCCCTGTCTCACAAAATAGCTGTCCACAGTCCTCTGTTTCTGGTGCCTCTTTAACATTTACCTAAAATAGGACATGGTTCTGTCACTGAACTTGTTGCAAAGATGGCTTGTTTCAGCTTGCTCAGGGTGGTACTTCTCCACAAACATTTGAACATCATTCCACTTCTGTATTATTTCATTCTTCACATCTATGGTGTTTCTCACTTCTTTTACCACAGGGGTACCACTAGCAAGTTTCTTTGCTGTAATAAAGTTGGTAGAATTACCGACAATATGTAAAGTAAAAGGACACAAGTGCAACTAATGTGACATTTTATTGTGGCAACGTTTCGCTCTCCAGGAGCTTTATCAAGCCGTTACAAACAGTACATGGACACAGAGGGTATATATAGGCTCAGAGTGAGGTGCATTACTAGTGGTAGTACAGTAGTAATAGTAGTAGAAGTAATACAATATGTAGAACAATTAACTTGCACATGAGTAAACGATGTAAAGTCTATTACTTGGGAAACATAAAAATTGGTTAGACAAATATTTCTATTGGAGGCTGGATAGAGAAGGCCTGTTTCAATGTTCATTCTCTGTAATGTGCTTGTGTAGTATTAACAGGAGAGACTATGTGATAACAGGATTTACTGTTTTCAGGAGGATTCTTGCTAAGACTTCAGAGATGGTGAAGCTGCCTTTGTTTTGTTTAATTGTATTAGAAACAGCTATTAGTGAAGATTCAAGGCACTTGCGTCTGCGGAAATTAGTTTCTTTGATTACTAGTTGGGCTTCCCTGAACTTCATGAGATGATTGGTGGAATTTCGGTGTTGTACACAGGCGTTGTTCGAGTTATCGTTCCTACATGCATAAATGTGTTCATTGAGGCGGGTGTCGAGGTTTCTTGCTGTTTCACCTACATAAATCTTGTCGCAGCCTCCACAGGGTATAGTGTACACCCCTGCATTGACTGGTTCGTGGTGCTTGGATTTTGTTCTGGTTAGATCCTTTATCGAAGTGCTGGAAGCGATGGCGACTCTGGTGTTAGCTTGTTTAAGTACTTTAGAAACGTTCAGTGCAACCTGGCTGTTGGGAAGAATTATAACTTTTTTGGGAGTGGTGTTGGTGCGTGGAGAATTAATGATCTGAAGGGCTCTTTTCTTGCAGTCTTTGATGAAAAAGGAAGGATCTCACACACTTCTATTCCAGTCAAGATACTAGGACCAAAAGAGGCATCATCATCGGGTTTTTCCTAAGAGCATATCGAATTTGTAGTCCTGAGTTTCTTGACGAGGAATGTACCTACATTCACAGAACCTTCACAGATTTACATTTTCCTTCCTTTTTCATCAAAGACTGCAAGAAAAGAGCCCTTCAGATCATTAATTCTCCACGCACCAACACCACTCCCAAAAAAGTTATAATTCTTCCCAACAGCCAGGTTGCACTGAACGTTTCTAAAGTACTTAAACAAGCTAACACCAGAGTCGCCATCGCTTCCAGCACTTCGATAAAGGATCTAACCAGAACAAAATCCAAGCACCACGAACCAGTCAATGCAGGGGTCTACACTATACCCTGTGGAGGCTGCGACAAGATTTATGTAGGTGAAACAGCAAGAAACCTCGACACCCGCCTCAATGAACACATTTATGCATGTAGGAACGATAACTTGAACAACGCCTGTGTACAACACCGAAATTCCACCAACCATCTCATGAAGTTCAGGGAAGCCCAACTAGTAATCAAAGAAACTAATTTCCGCAGACGCAAGTGCCTTGAATCTTCACTAATAGCTGTTTCTAATACAATTAAACAAAACAAAGGCAGCTTCACCATCTCTGAAGTCTTAGCAAGAATCCTCCTGAAAACAGTAAATCCTGCTATCACATAGTCTCTCCTGTTAATACTACACAAGCACATTACAGAGAATGAACATTGAAACAGGCCTTCTCTATCCAGCCTCCAATAGAAATATTTGTCTAACCAATTTTTATGTTTCCCAAGTAATAGCCTTTACATCATTTACTCATGTGCAAGTTAATTGTTCTACATATTGTATTACTTCTACTACTACTACTACTGTACTACCACTAGTAATGCACCTCACTCTGAGCCTATATATACCCTCTGTGTCCATGTACTGTTTGTAACGGCTTGATAAAGCTCCTGGAGAGCGAAACGTTGCCACAATAAAATGTCACATTAGTTGCACTTGTGTCCTTTTACTTTACAAGTTTCTTTGCTTCCATTGTAGCTTATTTCACAGTCCCACAAGCACTAAACAATATGAAATAATCGTAAAATGTTTGAATGAGAGCGCAGGTTAGTGTTCACTCAAGCATCAACAAAACCAGACTGGCTCATGGCGCCTGCATGGGGACACGGACAGACCGGGCTGCCAGACAGGTCTGGTACCCGGCAGTTCGAAAATATGGGCGAGTTCAATAATAGGGACAAAGTTGGTTCGAAAAAAGGGTTCTATTTTCGAAGAGTTCGATAAGCGATACATTCGAAATTTGAGGTTCCACTGTATAATTCAAAAGCAATGATTTAGAATAAAGTGCCTAAACTTGTAGTTTTTATCACATACTTTTCTTGAATCCAAGTTTCAGCGCTCCTTCCCCATTACCTAATACTTTATAATTTTTCTTCATTGGCGCAAAATAATATTCACTACTTTCTTTTAATCTTTTGTGAGTGGTTATTTTAAGTGGTTATTTTACTGTTTATTTATAGTTCATATTCTTAACTGAGTCACTGATTATGTCCTTGAATTGTCTTTTTTTGATGGGTGTGAAACACTACAGCAACATTTTTATTTAAATTTTGGTTTAACATATATTCGAAACAGTTTTCTGGGGGAAAATGCAAAACCTGTTGGGGTCACACACTGGAAGATTTTCAGTCAGTTTGGCCTACCTGTATTTTACACATCAAATTACATTAAATCCTAAAGATAATTCTATCAACCACAGTTGATGGATGAGATGGTGACTGCCGCAAGTGGGCTTATGATCAATTTACACAATCACTAAACTGAAAAGCTAGCTACACTGTATGCAGAAATTCTAGGAGAGAGAGCTTGTACTGGCTGATGAAAATTAGTTATATTTCATCATGAATTTGCTCACATTTAACCATCAACACTACTTAATATTTTTAGCAAAGTGTAAAGAGTACCCCTAACCATGCATTTTCCACAGCCTGTGGAGTGGAGAAACTCCTCAGTGTTCTTCATAAGAAAGGAGTGAGGGTAACTGAGAACTTGCACATCTATTCATCACATATTCTTTCTCCAGACAGTGACAATAAACTCAAGAATCTTGCCCACACTCTTAATCTTAGTGAAGTCTGCTGGCATCAGAGGTATGAGAACTCCACTAATGACTGTAAAGTATTACAATGATTAACAGGATTAAAAATAGTTAAAATTATGAATTGGTGGCATATGAAACTCTACTCATTGTCTACAGTTTTAAACAAGAAATTATGCTACAGTGAATTTAAATTATATAATGGGTAACAAAGGAATACAGCTTCTCCTCACTTAGCAACATACACGTTTACCGATGACTTGGACTTACGGCGGGCTCTCTGACCAGTATGCATACCTAAATAATGTATATTAGAGCCAATTTCCTCTATTCTGTTTATTACAATATACAGTACACTTCTGTATAAACATTTAAAAATATACCAGAAATATTATAAATGGTGCAAAGGTGACATTAAAACAGTATCAAAGATGGTTGACAAACCCACTACCATTATACAGTGGACCCCCGCATAACGATCACCTCCGAATGCGACCAATTATGTAAGTGTATTTATGTAAGTGCGTTTGTACGTGTATGTTTGGGGGGTGAAATGGACTAATCTACTTCACAATATTCCTTATGGGAACAAATTCGGTCAGTACTGGCACCTGAACATACTTCTGGAGTGAAAAAATATCGTTAACCGGGGGTCCACTGTAGTATGCTCCTCACTTAGGGACAAATTCGTTTACCGACGTGGTCTTAGGAATGGAACTCCATTGTTAAGTGAGGAGAGGCTGTAATTTTAACGCTACTTGGTAAAGTGAAACCTTAATTTAATTGACTAATGGGAGGGGGAGTGGCTGCTAATGTCAAGCATCCATTAAATTTAAATAATGAGACTGTCTTGTCATGACTGCAATAATGATAATTATGGAATCAACTGACTTTGTTGTTTCCAAAATTAATTTACCCAGCAGATCGTGACAGAAAATTCTGAAATCTGCAAACTTTGTTTCCAGATTATACACTGTCAAGATTTTATGTTAAACTCAAAATCCATTAAATTGAAGTGTTGCTGTATTTACCTTTTTTGGTCAGCTGTATTTTGAAAATATCAAAAGCAACTGCTATATAATTATAAACATACTTGTTTAACAAGTTGCTGTAACTCACTTTTCATTTTAAGTGTCAAAGCTGCTACGCCTCAAAAATTAATTTCTTAATTCTGGATGAGGAACTGTTAATGAGCCTGAGAAAATACTTTCTAATTTGTTTGTTTTTTATTCAATAACTAGATTCTTTTTTAATTCCTATACATTATCCCGTCAAACCTGGTTATCATTTATCCGTTTGTCCAAAAAAATCATCATTCTGACCTTTCTTTCATAAATACAATTCATTAACTTCTCACTGGAAGGGCTTTAATTAATTAAGTTTTTTAATGTATCAGCAGTTTTTCACTAATGCAGGATAACCTAAATTATTACTGTGTATTCCAGGAAAAATACAAGTAATCAGGTTTGTGAAGGAGCTTAAAAATCCTTGGATAAAAAGAGCTCCCTCACCAGCCTCAGGATGCCCTCCCTTCCTGGAAGGGTAGGAGTGGTGCAGAAAAAGAAGCAAATTCACTGTCACTCATTCTGTGTTTTCCCAGAAATCCAACCACAATACAAATGGCTAAACTGTAACATCCAACCTTCTGAGTGTAGGCATTATACTTCCCATCTCTAGGACTCTAGTCTAGCTAAGCAGTTTCATATATGTTATCTCGCTTATATAGGTCGTAAGATCACAAACAGGTTTTGGTCGTTTTGACAAGACTGTAATGAAGTACCACTAAAACCTGCATGCAGTTTTGATTTGGCAATGAACAAAACTGTGGTCTGTGATGAGTGGCATTAAATCCAGAAAAAGTAGCAGTAAAAAATAAGGAATATATCTGGTTACTTTGGCCAAGGCCAAATGAAAAGACAGAAAAATTCATTTATCAACTTCTTAAGAAAAATATGACCAAGTAATTCAGACTTGAGTCCTGGAGATGGGAAGTACAGTGCCTGCACTCTGAAGGAGGGGTGTTAATGTTGCAGTTTAAAAACTGTAGTGTAAAGCACCCTTCTGGCAAGACAGTGATGGAGTGAATGATGGTGAAAGTTTTTCTTTTTCGGGCCACCCTGCCTTGGTGGGAATCGGCCAGTGTGATAATAAAAAAAAAAAAAAAAAAATTCACTGCTGTAACACTTTCAGGAATATTGTGGAAGTCCCAAGACATTTGGCAGTTCAAATTGGCACAGGGGAAATAAAGGAAGTGCACAAGGGTAGGGGTCATCCCAGGAACAATTGGAGGGGAGTCATACAAGAGGTTTTGAGTTTTAGGTGCTTGAGCATCAAGCAGGCTTACCTTTGATGAGTTGCGAGAGGTTTTTTTCTGCTCCCAGAGCCTACCCTTGGGCCAGGCTTGTTTGGTGCAAGCATGATAGGAATGAATGGAGAAAAGTAGTTTTTAATGAACATTCTATTGGAATTTGAGGTTAGGTAACTTTTATAAAGGATTCAGAGAAACTGATTAGGATTCAGGTCCTAGAGGTAGGAAGTACAGTGCCTGTGCTGATGGAGGTGGGGATGTTGGAGGGTAATCTGAGTGTGATGTCAGCACACTTTTGGAAAGACAGTGATTGACTGAATGGCAAATTTTCTAATTTAGGTTACCCTACCTTGGTGGGAGATGGCTGTTAAAAAAAAAAAAAGATAGATAAATGTCACTGAAGAAAGAATAGTAGTGGTACAAGAGATTTCAATTTGCATGCTTATATTGACTGCATTTACATAAATTCCAGATGAGATGGGATTAATTAAACAAATATCTCCAACAAACTTGTTTTTGTGTGAAGATTAACCTTATAAATGATCTTTCCACAGCTCATGGAGGAAAGAAACTCCTCAAGGCTCTTCACAAGAAGACAGTGAGGGTGACAACTCGTTTGGACATTTATACACTGCATGCCATTACTAGAGAGAGTAACAAAGAACTCGAAGAACTTGCCGTAACGCTTAATCTAAGTCCACTCTTCTTACACTCTAGGAATACAGGAGTAGTGAACTGAGTGCACTGTTCTACTTTAGTGATTGTAATGTATTGTTTCTGTTAAAGTATTTTAAATTACTCAGCCATTTACTGTACTTGGGCTTAATTTTTTTTCTTTACTGTACCATATTGGATTATTAAAATCAAGGGAGAAAGGCTGAACTCAGTGGGTTCACAGAGCATCCAGGAAATGGAAGATAATCAAATTGGATTAGAGGAAGGGTAGCTTCAATTCCTTGGATCAAGATCACTTTTCCAGTCTTTAAACACTGCTGTAAATTATTATAATGGGAAAGTGCTAAGCCTCCAGGGCTTGTATAGTGCTGGGAACTATTATATAGTTTGTGTGTAATGTCAAGGGTGAGTGTGCCACAGTAGCAGAGTACCTGATTAGCAGTCTGTGAATTATATTGTGCACTACAGGCAGCCAGCAATAATAGCCTGGTTGATCGGGCCCTGATGAAGGAGTGGGCCACAGGGGTGACAACTCCCAGAACACCTTCTGGGTAAAGAACTGTGTACCACTAACATGTCCTGCCTCTTGTGAGACGAAGTGTTTGAGCCATTACACTTTATATGTATTAATATTTTAATGTTTATGTAAAAAATTGCTGTTTTTTAGTCTGAAGATTATATGATTATTAAACAATCTCTAATTGTAAATAAATTTTATTGTTCAATACAGCATTTTAATTAGAGGGGATGAGGGTGCACTTAACCTGTAGGGGCAATATAATGCCATCAAAGGAAGTCCAGTTCCTTTGATCAAGAACCCTTCACTGGCATCAAGACATCTATAGTTTCCAATTTGTAAATTTAAATTTTCATTTTAATTAATAATTTTACAATTTTTACCTTAACTATTAATTTTGATTCTGTCCATAGCATGTACAGAAATACAGTAGGGCCCCACTTATACGGCAGGTTAGGTTCCAGGCTACCGCTGTAAAGTGGAAATCACCGTAAAGTGGAACACCCTTTTTTTCCACTTATAAATGCATACAAATACTAGATAACAAGTTTACACTAACATATATTAAGTTAGCAATAGAACCAGGCATCAAAAAACAATAAAAAAGTACAATACACACATAGTGCACTCATTACTTACCTTAAAATATTTATAGTCTTAATCTAGGGTGAGACAAGTAGTATTTATTGTAAGAAATCAAGTGTGGTATGTATGGTAGTCAGCCAGGCTACCATACCAGGCCACACCACCCACACATACTATTCTATGATATTTAAGCATCCCAGAGCGATAAAATGCATATACAGTTTACTCATTACTTACTTTAAAATATTTGTAGTCTTAATCTAGGGTGAGATGAGTAGTATTTATTGTAAAAAATCAAGTGTGGTATGTATGGTAGTCAGCCGGGCTACCATACCAGGCCAACCCACCCACACATATTCTATGATATTTAAAGCATCCAGAGCAATAAAATGTAATACAGTTCACTCATTACTTACCTTAAAATATTTGTAGTCTTAATGTAGGGTCAGGAAGTAAGTAAATGAGATAAAACGAATAAATGAGAAGAGAAAGAATGAGTGCATGAGAGAGGACAGGCCCCAGAGTTATTAAAACAAACCAGGTGAAGGTAATTTTGTGTAAAAAAAAGGTGTACACGTCTGGTTTGTGTACAAGTTACATTGTGTACAGGTTGTCTCTACATTGATACGGTAGAGTAAATAAAGAAGAACACTCCCATTCTCATGTAACATCATTTTGAGAAGAAATGATGCTCTGAGTGAAGGCAGTGGAAATAAGTCACTCTGTCTGACTTTTTTGGGTTATCCTGGGTTCTCTACACATATGCTGTTATGTATGATAATCTATGTAACTGTATTTGTGTATATCTGAATAAACTTACATACATACAAAAGGAATAATTTTCTACAGTTACCCCCAGTAACACATTTTCTCTTATGTTAGATTAGAGAAAATGTTATTCTTGCCATCACTTGTACAAGTTATCAGGCTCCCACATCTCATATTTATGTTTATTTATTCAACTGTGGGGTGTATTTATCATCTTTATATGTTATGTATCATGTTTATTATATAATTTTGAAAAAAATATCATGGATGGATTAATGAAAATGTGTATATTAACGTAATATACCACATTTAATAAGACTCGGTGATGATGATTATTATTATTTCTAATATGGCGTAACTTGTGCAAGTCGTCTGCTACCACACCTCATATTTATGTTTATTTATTCTACTGTGGGGTGTATTTATCATATTTATATGTTATGCATCGTGTTTATTATATAATTTTGAAAAAATATCAGATGGATTAATGAAAATGTGTATATTAACGTAATATACCACATTTAAATGAGACTCGGTGATTATTATCATTACTAATATGACGTCTGGAGACATAAAACACTCTTACTGATTTTAATGTGTACCTGCACGCCAGCACAGTATGTAAGTTTATTTATTTAAGTACAGGTATATATAAGCATAATTATCAGAGTTTTTTTTTTTTTTTTTTTTTTTTTTTTTTTTTTTTTTTTTTCAACAAGTCGGCCGTCTCCCCCCGAGGCAGGGTGACCCAAAAAAGAAAGAAAATCCCCAAAAAGAAAATACTTTCATCATCATTCAACACTTTCACCACACTCGCACATTATCACTGTTTTTGCAGAGGTGCTCAGAATACAACAGTCTAGAAGCAAAAACTAAAAAGATCCCACAAAACCCCTCCAAACTGCCAATTCCCAAACCCCCCTTTAAAAGTGAGGCATTGTACTTCCCTTTTCCGGGACCAATCCCTATATGAAAAAAACCCCGGTTTCCCTGAACCCCTTCACAAAATTACCCTGCCACACTCCAACAGTGTCGGTCCCAAGTACCATTCGCTCCATTCACTCCTACTAACCCTCAGCACGCTTGCGGAAGCCCAAGCCCTTACCACAAAAAACCCCCTTTACCCCCTCTCTCCAAACCCCCCTTTGAGGACGACCCTACCCCCCGCCTTCCCTTCCCCTATAATTTATATGCTTTCCATGTCATTTTACTGTGATCCATTTCTCTAAAGACCAAAACCCCCTCAACAACCCCCCCTTTCCCTCTGACTAATACTTTTTTAACTCCCCCCTTCTCCTAAAATTTCCCCACCCGAATTTTCTGCATAATATTTACACCACACATTGCCCTTAAACAGGGGCATCTCCCCTGCCCCCAACCGTCTCCTGCTGCGCATTTACCCCCAAGCTTCACACCCCTTAAGAGTGTTGGTATACTATCTTTCATTCATTTCCCTTCTTTGCCTCCATAGATAACGTTTTTTGACTCCCATATACCTCAACGCACCCCCCCCTTTTTTTCCCTCATCAATTTTATGATTAACCTCATCCCTTTATAAAACCCTCGCCCAACGTCAAACCCCCAAGTATCTGAAAACATTCACTTCTTCCCCTACCCTCCCCCCAATTTTAATCCAAAATTTTTTTTATTAAATCATTTGACACCCTCTCACCTTACTCTTTTCATGTTCACTTTTTAACTTTTTCCTTTAACACATTCCCAAACTCATCCACTAACCTTGCTTTTTCTTTGAATTCCCATAAGCCAGTTCTCACAAAAAGTAACTGTGTCATTCCCATTTTGAAATTTTATTCCCCCAAAATTTTAAACCCACCCCTCCCCAAAAACCCCCAGATTTACTTCCTTTACAACCCCATCTATAAATATATTAAACAAACCATGGTGACATTACACATCCCTGTCTAAGACCCATTTTACGGGAAGTAGTCCCCTCTTTCTAACACCCTAACCTG